GCCCTATCTCTAAAACTAGCCCGTCATTGTGGTAGATGCCTGTAGTCCCAGCTACTCGGGAGACTGAGGCAAAAGGATCACTTGAGCCTGAGTTTGAGGCTGCTGTGAGCTATGATGCCAAGGTACTCTACCCAGGGCAACAAAGTGAGACTCTGTCTCAAGAAAGGAAAGAAAAAAAGAAAGAAAGAAGGAAGGAAGGAGAGAGAAAGGAAGGAAGGAAGGAAAGAAGGAAGAAAAGGAAGGAAGGAAGGAAGGAAATAAAGAAGTTCTAGAAGCTGGGGAAGGCAAGGAAATGGATTCTTCTCTGGACTCTCCAGAGGGACAGTGACCCTGCTGACAGTGTGGATTTGTAGCTGGACCACCTGTGGTTTTAGTACCCCAGCATTTTAGTGACCAACATAATGAAAGTTCTAACTAGGCTCTTATTTACCTCTCACTTCCTGCCCACACCCTTTGTTCTGACAGTGATCATTAACTGCCTGGTACTGTTTTTTCCTTTTTTTAGAAACAGAGTCTTACTTGTCGCCCTTGGTAGAGTGCTGTGGTGTCACACCTCACAGCAACCTTCAGTTCTTGGGCTTAGGCAATTTTCTTGCCTCAGCCTCCCCAGTAGCTAGGAATACAGGAGCCCGCTACAGCGCCCAGCTATTTTTGTTGTTGTTGTTGTTGCAGTTTAGTTGGGGCAGGGTTTGAATCCACAACCCTCGGTATATGGGGCTGGCACCCAGCTCACTGAGCCACAGGTGCCACCCCCGGTACTGTTTTGTTCTCAAGCTGTAAGAAACAACTCCAGGGTCACAAGAAAATTTTATGTGTTTGTTTTGCAGGAATGAATGTCTTTGAGGAAGTTTAGCTGCTGGTACTGAGAAGTCTGCTTGCTTAAGATGCTATTTGAGGGGACCCAGCCCAAAGCTAGGATTATGGCTCATGCCTGTAATCCTAAAACTCTGGGAGGCCAAAGTTGGTGGATTGCCTGAGCTCCCAGGTTCAAGACCAGCCTGGGATAGAGTGAGATCCCATCTCTAAAAATAGTGGGGCATTGTAGTGGGCACCTGTAGTCCCAGCTACTTGGGAGGCTGAGGCAAGAAGATCACTTGAGCCCAAGAGTTTGAGGTTGCTGTGAGCTATGATGCCACAGCACTCTACCAAGGATGATAAAGTTAGACTCTGTCTCAAAAAAAGAAAAGAAAATGATGTTATTTGAGACAGAAGAAACATAGACTGTACCCTTAGTCCCCTGGGACCCCCTCCCTCACCCACTGGCCACATAAAACCTACCTGCTTCATGTTTTCAGGAAAGCAGATCTGAGAGATTTTCCCTCTTGTCTTCTGGCTTTGGCCAAACTGAATAAACCTTTCTGTATCTCCAAGCGCTGGTGTCACAGCGTTTTAGCTTTAGCTGCACACTGGATACATGAGCCTGAATTTGGGGTTCCATAGCAATGTGGGTGACCATGAAGGGCTGTTTTGCCCATGGCTAACCCATCATGGCTAGGACCCAAGCACTGCAAGGGGAGTCCTGCAGCTGCTTGGGCATGTTGCGGAGTGACACCCCTCATTGCTTCCCTTCTGGCTGGCATTGACTGCCTTTGGTGCAGCCTTCACTTACAGTGGAGAAATGTACCAGCCTTCAGTCTACTTTTGGTATTGCATTTTCTGGGTGAGTCACCATGACTTGTGCAATCCTGATACTCTAATTCTCTGCATTTTGTTTGTTGTTGGTTGAATTGAGGGACCCTCATTTAGGAGAGCTTTAGACCTATTGGACTTTTGGACTTTTACTTTTTTCCTTTGTCCCGAAGGAATTTGCTTTTGTTCTTTTTTTGGTTTTTTTATTTGTTTGTTTTTGAAACAGAGTCTCACTCTGTCACCCTGGGTAGAATGTCTTGGCATCCATCATAGCTCACAGCAACCTCAAACTCCTGGGTTCAAGCAATCCTCCTGCCTCAGCCTCCTGAGTAGCTGGGCCTACCAGTGACCATGACCACACCCAGCTAGTTTTTCTATTTTTAGTAGAGACAGGGTCTTGATCTTGCTCAAGTAGCTCAGGCGGTCTACCCACCTCAGCCTCCCAGAGTGCTAGGATTACAAGTAAGAGCCACCCTGCCCGGCCAGATTTTGTTATTTGTGTGAATGTTTGTGTTGATTTTGTGTGTGACTGAGCCAGCTATGGGAAACCCAAACTCCATCCCTGAATGTAGACCTGTGGGGCACACGTTCCAGAACTGGATTGCTTTCAGTTAGGAACCAATGAAACATAAAGAGATGATTTCTTTTTTTTTTTTTTGAGACAGAGCCTCAAGCTGTCCCCCTGGG